AACGTGAAAAGCAAAAAAAAATAAGAAAGCTTCCGAGTTTGCCATGGATTTGGTTTGAGGATGTGAAATTGAACGAAAGATATGGTGGGGTTTTAGTTAAATCGATCTGATTTTGTACACAGAGAATAGAGAAAACGACACTTTCGACGGACATATCCCTTACAAATATGTCGGGTCGTTAAAAAATTTCGTTTTGTTGTCAAAGTTCCCGCCTTCTCGAAATAAACCGAAGTCCGTCGTCAATTCGTTGAAAGTTTCCGATAGAATTCTGACGGACACAGAATATATGGTATATCCTCTACATGAATTTATATTGGGCAGTCAATGCGGTTCAAATAACCAAAGTCCATCGCAAATGTGTTGTAGACCTTGCTTAAGTTCTTCTGTAACTTCATATTTATCCGGAATTTGATGATGTTTGTCCATCCATGATCGAAAATCATTATAAGAAGCAGAGAAAAACATTATAAAACGTATTTAGATGAAGTTTGCAAAAATTATGGTGAATAAATGAGAAGGAGGAGAAGGTTTTATAGAAAAAGTTGGCCGCAAATTTTCGACGGACATCTGACAATGTCCAAACGGCTAGTTAACGACGATAATATTTCAAATGGCTCTAATTTCCGTCGGAAATCCGTCAAAAATTTGTAAAGGATACAAGTTATCGCTAAGCCATTGGATACAAGGAACCCTACCATATTTTTTTGTCTGCATATTTTACAAATATATTAAATATAATAGGAACATGTATAATTAAAAAAATTAATTACCATTTCAAGCGTTTGACGCTCGACACACTTTGCGCCCTAATTGTGAGCATACATCCCCTCCCCTCCTCGTTTACCCTTCTGGTTCTTCGAGTTCTTCTCTGAGAGGATCTTTGTCAAAGGTAGACTCCAATTATCACAAAAGTCTTTCCACACATGATCTTCTAGATCCTTCGCTCCCTTCTTCTTCTTATTGAAATCATTCTTCCACTGTGACATGTGTTGTGAGTATTATAACAGCATATTGGTCAAAAGATTGCAGCATTTGATTCGTTCTCTTATGGTTCCAAGTGAACTCTTGCTATAAAAAAATACAAAAAGCGTTAATATATATAAAATACGTTAACCATCAAATAAGAAAAATAAAAAATCTTACCGCAAATGTTCGATGCCATTAGTCCTTTACATCTAAAGGCATGTCGAAATATGTTTTAACATCGAATGAAACATCCGCAATATACACTTCGAGATCTCATCACAAACCTTAAACCTACAAACAATAAAAATATCAAATTA